TTGAGTACATAGTGTATAAGTGCATAGTGTATAGTGCGTCATTTGGGACGCAGCTATTGTTTTGAGTCATTGCTAGGCACTGCCGACAGATGCCGAATGGCACCACCGTTGTGTGTACATAAACAACAGACAGGACCGATCTCTTTTTTATGTTATTTTTTATTCTCTTTAAACACATCGTTCTGTTATATGTTCTTACAGCACTTCAGACGAATATTAATTATAAATGATAATTAGATGCGTTCATTACCTGTCTAGCGATGTGTGTTTATGTTGTAATATACTAAAACCTGCAGCACTCATGTTTATTTAATGAGATCAAAGCCCTTTGAAGTTTAATCGTCACATAAGAAATATAGCAATTCTGGTCTTTCCGTACCCAATTTTAAGACCTCTTGAAATCCTAATTAAGACTTTCTTGTACAATTTAAGACTTTTTATGACCTTAAATTTGATCCAACTAAATTTAAGACTTTTTAAGGAGCCACGGGAGCCCTGTTAGTAGAGCACCCTTTTGCTGTTATGCCTGCTGCAAACAAGATGCGTAGCCAGACACCAGCTTCTGGCAGCGTTCCTGAGAAGTATATCTCATTACTCATGAGCAATGGCCTCCAGTTCAGTAATGTTCTTGGGTTTTCGTGCTTTAACCGCCTTCTTCAAATCCCACCAGAGATTTTCTATCGGGTTCAAGTCAGGTGACTGTGATGGCCACGGTTGAATCTTCCAGGACTTCTTTTGCAACCAAGCGTTGGTGGAATTTGAAGTATGCTTGGGATCATTGTCGTGTTGGAAGGTCCAGTGATGCCCAAGCTTCAGCTTCCTCACAGACGGCAAGATGTCTTCTCCTATGATTTCCTGATACTTCATTGAATCCATCTTGCCTTCCACATGCTGCACATTTCCAGTGCCAGTGGATGCAAAGCAGCCCCGGAGCATCACCAAGCCACAACCATGCTTAACTGTAGGCAACAAAAGTGTTCTTTTCAGCTTATGCTTCATTCTTCTTCCTCCGAATAGGACCAGAAAGTTTCAGTTCTGTTTCACTGTTCCAGAGAACAGAATCCCCAGACTTCTGTGGCTTATTTATATAAGGAAGTCAAGACAGTACAGAGAGAAGGCTGTTCTTATTTTATGTCACCATACCAGAGCATTCAAATGCATGAATATTTTAATGAAAAATGAGCTGATGGCAAATTAAGAAATAGATTAGCGTGATTGATATTCAAATGGTAAGCAAGCGTTGCTTTGTTTACGGTTTGTATGTCTACAGTCCTAGTTTCGGTTTCCCTTTTTTAATGACGAAAATAGACTACTGATACCTGCTGGTATAGACAGATATTTACTTACAAGCACACACAGTTCACAATCGCCTTTAGTCCTTTTGGTGCATTCAAATGCTGCTTTTTGGCCGAGACGCAGCCGACGCAACAACACAGTGAACTTTTGTTGCCACTAGTTCTTTGACATCAGCTTGGTGTGTCCTGGGATTAAAGGGGTCATGAATTGAGAATTAAAATTTTCCTTGATATTTTGGTAATTTGCATAATGTCAGCCTATGGTTTTCATTGGCTGCCCATGAATGTCTACTTTGATGTGTACAAATCTGTTTAATGCCGCAAATTGACACTTTTCATTCATTTTTATTTGAACTGATGCAGTCTAATTAGATTAATAAGATTCTTATTAATTCGATTGATAAGAATAAGATTAAAGTGATTATTACATTTTGAATATGGATATTTTTCTTACAAAACCGCATCGATTCGCTACAGGAGGCCTTTGTTCCCCCCCCTCCTCAAGTCATATACACATAGGATGGCTTGAGGGTGAGTAAATAATGGGCTAATTTTCATTTTTGGGTGAATAATTCCTTTAAGAAAGGCCGCAAACACGACCCCGCCACCCCTTTTTTGCGAGCTCTTCACTGGCTCCCAGTTAGGGGTGTAACGATTCACTAGTTTTCTCGATGCATCGATTACAAACCCTGACGATGCAATGCATCGATCTTGAAACATGGATTTTTGAATCGTGAATCGCCAATTTCGGACAGCAATCGATTTAAAACGCTACGAATCGAATGAATTGCGATTTCTATAGCGATTCAATGCTTTCAAAATATATACACATCAAATTACTACAAGCACGAATTAATGGAGACCTTGAACAGTGTTCGTGCCCTCGCATCTCTCCTTCACGCGCTCCACTATTTACCGTCTGTGACTGTCACAGGATTGCGTTCGCGCTCAGTTCGTCTCACTGACACGTTTTTTGAGCAGCTGATGTGTGATCGCTCCTTACCGTGGCCAGTAATGCTAAAGTGAAGTAGTTTTACTTTTCTGTAGTTTTTCAATGGCTCTCAGTTACACAGAGCTCCGACGACATTACCTAAGCAGTAGAAGGCTGCGCATTTATTGCATGGACAGAGCAAAAATGTAAGTGTCTAAAGCATATGCACAGTTCCATTGAATGATAAATGTGTTTTAACAATGTCGTTGAACCGAATGTACGAAGGAAACTGTTAAAATAACAACCACAGCATTAACAGCCTTGAAATAAGAGCGCGAGGTTTATCTGATAATCAGATGCATGAAAGTAGTTTGCTATAGCAAACAGACTTTTTCTTTCATAGTCATGATTCGCCGATGGAGAGGAAAAGTTTAATACTATAGCATTTTATTTTATGAAAATTAGTTAAGAAGTTTTTGCACTGAAAGAGAAGTGATCTCGTGCTCATAGAATTAAGACGTGCCAGGCTATATCTGCAGCTGTATAAAAAGCAGAATTAACTGAAACGTTAAGACAATAAACACAATAAATAATTTATGAATGATGCAGTGCTAATTGACATTTATTACAGTACAGAAATTATAAAGTATATTTTCTACCGTATTCTGTGCAGAAAATTTTAATAATTGTTTGTAGTATATAAAACAATCATAAAAATTGCCATTATGAAAAAAATATAGATTACAAATGATTGATTGTCCAGCTGTGTATTTGATTTCTTATAGCAAATTCAAAGTAAGAGATAAGAATTCCTTGGGTAAAAAAAATACATACATAAAATTATTGTATTTGACATTTGTCACTTTTGAAATGATGGCTACGCCCCTGGTGTGACAAAATGTTAGCCTACTCATAATACTTTTAAAGCTCTTTTTTTAAATCTTGGCTTACATACATTTCTACATATGCCATGTCATGCCATAGCATCATTAAACTAGCATCTAACAGTGGACAAAAGTGGTTTTTTTCTCTAACCTATGGTTCTGTAACCATAAAGGCTGCTGTGTAATTTGCCCCCTGACTAAGCATTTAAATAATTTAGGGGAAGCATTTAAATAATCCTGTGAATGCACTTAAAGAATGCAGAATCGAATCGTTAATCGAATCGTTCTGAATTTGCTAAAATTTGCATTCTTATAAACCTACTAGAGATTTAAGATCAGGTAATCAAAACCTACTTATGGTTCCTTGCACAAGGTTGAAACGCAGAGGAGATAGAGAAACTTCGGTGATGGGCCCTAGATTGTGGAACAGCCTGCCAGCGCACCTCAGAGCTGCTCCATCTCTATCGGTTTTTAAATCTCTTCTGAAAACTCATTTGTTTTCTTTAGCTTTTATAAGTTGATGATGTTTGAATGTGTTACTTTTTGATCATTTTGTTGTACAGCACTTTGGTCAGTCTTGTGATTGTTTTTAAATGTGCTTTATAAATAAAATAGCTTTAACTTTATGACCCCAAATGAAGTTTGCTGAAATAAAAAAAATGTTCCCTTGATCCAAATGGCATGAGACTTTGCAACACTGACAACACTTTCTAAAGCTACAAAAAGATTAAAAATAAATTACATAAAAAAAAAAAAAAAATTAAATTAAAAATTCTTGTTATAATTTGTCAAATAAAAAAAGCCAAAATGCACAATCACCACAAAAAGAAAGCACCACGACACATCCAAGACGGAGAACAATGCACACACACACACACACACACACACACACACACACACAGTGAGAGAGAGAGAGAATGAAAGGATGAGACCGTACAATCATATCATTTTAAGCCATCTACTGGTTAAAATTATATTTCTTTTTTTTTTACTTTTAAGATGCCAAAAATCTTACACTAAACAATGGCAAATTGTCCATGTTATTTCTCATCTTTTTAAAGTAAATTTAACATAAATGACTATTTTGGGAAAAAAAACAAAAAAAAGTGTGTATATATATATATATATATATATATATATATATACTGTATACATATACACACACACACACACACACACGTGTGTCTGTCTGTATATAGATAGATTAATTTATTGATTTTTATTATTTATAAGGATTATTTAATAATTTCTTTATATAAAACATGCCAGAAATCTCCTTAAAACTGCACAAATGTAGAGTAAAAACTTTAAGTGAATAAAATTACATTTGTTTAAAAGAACAAAACCAAAACATTGTTACAAAATCACATTTTATTGCCTTATCCTGAGTTTACAACCCAAACACGGGTAACTTACAAGGGTTAAGTTACTTCTGTACTATTCTCTGTATAAATATACTTCTACTTCTGTACATTATCTATGTCTGTAGAGCTAGACATTTCAATAAGGATCAGATGATTGAGTTCATCTTTGAGAATGAAAACTAACCTGTTTGTTCCTCAGTATCCTTATTTTTGGCTCTGAATGCTTCTTCAATCTTCAGGTTTTCACTCTCCTCTTTAATAAACGCCATCTTTATAATAGTGCGTCACGTGGATTTAAGTTGCTTCACCAGGAGTTTTTCTGTGATTTTACACTGAACGGTTTCTATGGATTTAAACATAAAACAAATTCTTAAAACACAAACCGTCCTTCAGCCGAATCACAACACATGCCGGAGCGCGTCGCAGCCTATGACGTCATATCTCCACACCAAAATAAAAGTCCCGATCACAGGCTGCTGTCTATAATCACAAAAGGGCATAGAAATTTACTATTTTTACCAGATAATTTAAATAGTAACAAATGTGATGAAAACAAACAATGTTAAAAAAAATTCATAATGCAGAATTAATGTGTATGAATTAAAACACAATGGAGTGGTTTCTCGGACAGGGTTTAAAGGGGTCATATGATGCTGCTATAAAGAATATCTCTTTGGATTTGAGACTTTAGTCTTTGCAACTTTACAGATCTTCTTTATGCACCAAGAGCTTGTAACACTCCAAAGAGAAAGGAAAAATTGAAATCGCATCATATGACCCCTTTAATTAAATTCCAATCAACAGGAAATGTTTCAAATCTGCCTACAGTATATTGTCTGTGTCTATATTATGTTAATACAATATGAGGAGGATATTTTGAGTGGCAAAAGACTCTCCATGGATCACAGCTGGAGAATTGCAGAAAATAGTTAAAGGGTTAGTTCACCCAAAAATGAAAATTAGCCCATAAATTACTCACCCTCAAGTCATCCTAGGTGTATATATTCACCTTTCAGATGAATCCAGTCGGAGTTATATTAAAAATTGTCTTTGATCTTCCAAGCTGTTTAATGGCACTCAGCAAGTGTTGCATGCATCAGTCCAAAAGAAGCTAAATAAAAAGTGCTCATCCATAAAAATAATAATAAAAAAATAAAAATAAAAAAAAAGTGTCTGACACGGCTCCTTGGCTTATATCGAAATCCTCCGACATTCTTCTTTACAAATCCTCGTTTTGTACTTCTAATTAGTGACCGTAGTTTTGTTTTGATCTCTCTGCTGCGCTTCCGCATTCGTCACTGCTGAGCGGCGCATGCGCAAAGCCGACCTCCATATGTCATCCGCCTGGAGCTGCTTCAGTGTACAAAACGCATCGATTTGCTACAGGAGGACTTTGTTCACCCCCCGGAGCTGTGTGAGACTTTTTTTATGGATGGGTGCTTTTTATTTAACTTCTTTTGGACTGATGCACTGCAACACCCGCTGAGTGGCATTAAACAGCTTGAAAGATCAAAGACAATTTTTAATATAACTCCGACTGGATTCGTCTGAAAGAAGAAAGTCATATACACCTAGGATGACTTGAGGGTGGGTAATTTATGGGCTAATTTTCATTTTTTGGTGAATTAACCCTTTAAGTCTTGTGGTCAGAAAGCCTTTTAATGGGTCGTGGTTGGAACAGAACAATGATCCAAAAGGACCATCAAAAGCAACACAAAAATGTGTCACTGAGCTCACAACGAAGGTTCTGCCATGGTCATCCCAGTTCCCTGACCTGAACCCTATAGAAAACTGGAGAGGAGCTGGGAATCTGAAGGTTCTGAAGTGATTCTGGATGAAGGAATGGTCTCTGATCTCTCGTCAAGTGTCCTCCAAATTCATCAGGCATTATATGAGAGACTCATAGCTGTTAAATTGGCAAAAGGAGGTTGATTCTTTGTTCGTATCTACCAAGAGTGCCAATAATTTTTATATATAAAAACTGGAAACACAATATTAATCTGAAGTTAAACCTGCCTCCTGGTAAGTTTAATTTAAGCCTCAATTTAGTCCTGAAGTAGCTGTAGACTTCCTCCAGGAAATTAGCCTATTAAATTCTGGACTAGACCAAGTCGAAGACTATTGAAAACCATGACAGAGAAAGCAGATTTCAGTTAATCTGGTTTAAAGTGCCATTTTAGTCTAGGACTAGGCTTAATCTTTGTCCGGGAAACCGCCCCAATAAGAGTCAGTGTTTTTAACCAATGGACCCTTTTCACAAGACTGATGACGTGTTTAACGGTCATCAGCATCGTAAACCCTCCAAAGTTTTTCATATTTGTGTGTGTTTTTTTTATTATGTACATTTAAAAACTATTCTTTGTATTATAATACCTTTGCATCAAATTACAAAAAAAAAAAAAAAAAAAAAA